TTTTTGGGAAAGTAGGGTTTCGATTTTAAGGATCGAAATTGAAAATTTTTGAGTATTATCCCAAAAAAATTTCTGGAGCGTGTGTTAACGCCATAACCTTTATTCGAAGAAAGGAAAAACTCGATTCTTCTCCCGAATGGAAATCCTGGGACCGCCACTGCTACTAATCCTGCTTAGGTAACTCAAAAATCAAAATCATGGTTTCGCTAAAGTTTTGTCCAGCAATATTTTACAAGGAATCATAGCTATTTTTACGCTAACGTTTCATGGTGAATTACGGTAGGTATATGGTACTGACTACCTTACTAAGGAAGGTTTTACTACAGCAACTGTTTATGGTAACAATCATGTCAAATAACCCCTTGGAAATCCGTAAGTGTTATAGCAACTTTTGAAATCTTGACTTTACACCGTATACCTACCGTAACCGCATAAGGTCCCCCCCCCCACGAATTTACAAACAAATGCCCCTTGGCAAAATTATAGCGAAATCTAGGACTTTTCAAGGATGTTAGCTGAAGTGGAGTGAGTGAGAATAGCATATTTAGTTCCACTATGATGAAAATGGGTTATGTGCCTAAGCTTTTACGCGCTGCAAGAAAAATCAATACATGTGCGCGAAGATCCGAAACGTCGCTCGCTTTGCAAATCTGTAAGTCATACGGAAACGCGCGATTCTATGAGCCTTGGGTTGAATGAACTTTTTGTGCACTTTAACGCAAAGCCAAATTGTGGTTCAATGCGTAACAAGATTTCAGTCGGCCCTATAATAATGAGGACCTAGGGAATCAATAGCTTACAGCTGAATCTATAACTAGTAATAGGAGCTGATTGCCGACAAATCAAAATAACTAAAGCTGTTTACAAAGACGCATCACGCGCTAGGGGAAGCAAAGTTGACGTGCCGAAGCTGCGCTCGGTAAATCCCTCCGAAATGATAAAACTCGTGTGCACAAACTCATCACTCATGGCCTCACCGATGTTTTTGGGCCCGAAAGCCGCTTGGATAACAACGCCAAGAAAAACATTTAACGTCACCAGTAACAGACGATTCATGAGGGATTGTTGTTCTGGAACCATTGCGACAAAAAATGGGACGATTGAACCAATCGAAAAAAGTGGATACTCTGAAGTGATTCAATTAGTTTAAAGTGTTAAAAAATTGTAATTTGTACTAATCTACCGAATGATATTAGAGAAGTAGGCTATTATAAAAACATCAAAATATATTACTAGCGAAAGTTCTCTCTAACGCTCAGACTAGCGCGAAAACGCGAAACAAGCTACAGTCTGTGTCAATCGCCTAGTCATTTTTTATGCATGCAACTGCAGCGCCAGAGCTTCGCGCCACAGCGCCGAGCGCATAGGAGTCACGCATTCAAATTGGCCCCTCTGCTGGACGTCCGCACGCAAAGCATTCGCGTTGCGGGTGCGCGTTTATTGCGCAAAAGTGAGCACGTGGCTGACACAAACTGTACCGGCCTTTCTGCACTCCAAGATCACTGTAAACTGTAAATTACGGTAGCTCACATTTCGCTGCAAGACCCCCGCGAACGGAATGGGACTAAATTTGCTTTTTTGTTTGCATTCTATTCCTTCCTATCATCGCACTGCGAGTATAGCGCGCTGCCTTCGCTCGTAAGGACATCTGCCACAAACCTTGCGTCTTAACGCATTATGGCTGGTACCAGTTGCCCATTTAGGTGATACGCAGGAAGATCGACGTCTTTCATCCGAAACAATTGCCTTTACTTTTATGATTGACATGACCTGCTCATCGCAATGGGTTGGTCCTACATGGAAGCCCTCCTTCACCGCAAATTGAGTCTGTAATGCTTGTCCCCAATAATCGCTAGGAGTTGAAGTGAAGAAGGAAAGAAAGACGAAGTCGTTGATAGCTTCTGCTTAGCGATAACTGGTCCTCAAGCGCTATGTCCTAGCTCATGTGGCAAGGATTAGAAGTCCAGAAGTCATGTATAATCGAAATTTTGCACCGATTCAGCGTATTAGAGTGTAGTCGAAAATCAAATTATTTCCAGAGGAACGAGAAGGGGCCATCCGAGGGGAAACCAAATTTCCGAGAGTTACCTACATAGGCTGAATTCTCTTGCGAATTCAAAATAATCTTTGAATTATTTCAAATACAAGTTTTTCTTGACAAATTCTAAGCTACTGTGCTTAAAATATGTTAATGCAGTTTTTCAGGGGTTAGCAATAGACAAGCCTTAGGGGAAAATTCCTTGCTTCCCTTGAGGATCATTTCTGCATTCCCACGAGACCATCAACTCAAGAAAACAGCTCTTTCCCCTGAGGCTGTTTTGTGAAGATTTATCGTGCCGGCATGGAATGACATTGCATCATTTCTTTTTCGAAGATTGTCTCAAGGTTTATTTATGTGCCGTTCCGTTTGCTGAGAAACATTCGTGACGATTTATTTTTACCATCATTTATTTACATAGGTGAATCTCTGTTGAGAGGTAGTCAACATCAGAAATATTGTAAGTGAAGTGTGGAGCATTCAAAACGATAATCAAGTATTCTTTTCACTTTCTAAATAGCAGTAGACGATGTTATTATCGTTTTCGAGATGGGTATGAAGAACTTATAATACATAAACAGCATTTCAGAATAGGCACATTCGATTGTATGTATATACGCATACAACCTCACTGTATGCATCCGTTGTCTTTTTTTCACGGATGGAAAACGCGAAAAATTAAGGACCGCAACTTAAAATATATGAGCGCCCTAGTTTCACTTATGTAGTTGTGTTTTACAAACCGTTGGAAGTAGTATCTTGAAAGTACTGTTTCTGTAAATGTCGTCATCGAAAGACATCACGTTTAGCACTAAAAAGTCGAAAAGGCGATGTTATTGTTGTATCAGCCTAATTCGTTACTTGACTCTCCTCAACATATCATGCAACTGCGTTTATGTTTCGCTTGCAAGATTTTATTTGGCGGAAATCCGACTAAGAGTGTATCTGTATACTTTTTGAATTTAATTCCTACTTGAGATGGATCACGATCTCCGAGAAAATCCGGTGGTTGGCTTGTATAGCTTGCTTTGCTTTGTACATTATTTCTGCTACTTCTGCATCAACCCGATAACAGAGATCCAAATGAAGCCATCTCTACCAAATAGAAATTTGCTTTTAATAATCTCTTTTGCATTTGTTTTACTTATTTTCCTTTTTTCATTCAACAAAATTTTTTTAAAATCCAAAATTGAAGGTGGTCACCCTGTACTAGCTCAAAAGTGAAGGTAGTGGGAGAATCGGCTTCCACTATCGCATGTCTGTACATAAGTGAAACTAGGGCGCTCATATATTTTAGGTTGAGGTCATTGATTTTTCTCATTTTACACCCGTGAAAAAATACAACGAATGCACAATGAGGTTGTATGAGATGCAGCATGCTGGTTAAAGCAAATAGGAAGCTCGTAAAATTTTCTCGATTGATTGCCAAGTTTCCTTTCTTGAACCTCGGCATTAGTGTGATGTGTTAGTAGGTGAGAAAGCCGACAGAGGTCAATAGTATACTAGTATACTAGTGGCATCGAATGACGGCCGCCCTAACATCCGCGTGCCGACGGGGGAGGAGGCCTCTGAAGAAGACGACTTGTTCGAAACGTTAGGCGGCCGCTAATAAAGATCTACTAACCTCGGTCGGCTTACTTACCTACTGACACATCTCAATTGAGGTTCAGTTTTTGTGATTTCTATGTACACCTCCCTTCGATTCATGGGTGGCTGGATTGCGGTTGCGGAATTCGAAGCTTAATTGAGACTAGTGGATGGTCAGAGAGCACTCTCGCGAGAGAGACGTAGACTGCGTCGCTGGTGCGAACGGGCTACTTCCAGCCGCCATTCCCATTGAATTAAAGGTAATATGGTAATTATTCTGTAAAGCAGGCTAGCTCTATCGAATTGCGTCCCGCCCATCATTAGTACATTGTCTTTATAAGATAGACACATAGTAGTACCTCAAAATGTACTTGAAGGATTTTCTCCGGCCAAAATTAAGAAAAAAAAGATGGCCTAAAAATGCTATGCCACTTTCTTCAGGTTTTTCATGTAAAACTTGATATCTCTCGGTAGCAGAAGGGGTCAATTTGATATCTCTCTGTAGCAGAAGGGGTCAGTTTTGCATCAAAATAATTTTATCTTGGACGCAAAGATCAGCGAAAGTGCTACGAGAGCTGATCACAAGTTGACGTAACAGCGGCACATTTAAAAAAACCAAGAGGTCTCATCGTATACTACAAGCCTTACTAGTTATAATTTTAAGATCTTGTTCCTGTACGTGCTACCGGGAGATATCAAGTTTTACATGAAAAACCCGAAAAAATGGCATAGCATTTTTAGGCCATCTTTTTTTTTTCTTAATTTTGGCCGGAAAAAATCCTTCAAGTACATTTTGAGGTACTACTATGTGTCTATCTTATAAAGACCAAGTTGAGTCCGTAGGAATCTTCTGGAAGAAGAACCGAGTTTAGGGTCTCTGAAAAATTTTGATTTCACCTGGATTGGAGTTGAGCGGATCTTGAGTGATTTTTTCTGTAGAGCTTGCTCCGTTTTATCGAATGGTAGCGTAGGTCTATTAGGAAAACGAGAACAGCTCAAAACATTTGGAAATGGAGTTTACTTTTGGGACAACTTAATACTTTTCAATATAAATTCTTATAAGCAATAAGTTTTGATTTCCATCGAATTCTTCCATGTATTTGGTGGGTAAGGGTTTACCTGCTGGCTACTGCAGTTTACTCCTCTGAAGTTGTGAAAGTGACTCTAAAACTTAGTTAAAGTCGGACAAGGTAAAGGCAATGAGACGTCGGTAAAAAGAAATTGATGTGACCTTCGTTAATCATTCTACGAAATTTGCGGGTAGGTGACGAGCCTTTAAAGTATTTTAGTATGTTGAATTGCACTAATTATAGTTGTATTATATGTCTTTAGTTGTATTTAGAACTTTATTATACAATTTAAAGTCGGAACTTACACTTTTGTGTAGGAGCACAAATTTGTTTTGGTTCAAAAGGGCAAACGCATAAAACTGAAAGCCAAAGCAAGACAGTAAAATTGGTTTCACCCAATGTTGAACAGTGCAATGCATCGACTAACCTTGCCAAACAGATTGCGTATTCTAACGGCTATCCTGAATAAGGTGGACCAAGGCACACCTGTAGGCGAGAAAGCAGACCGATCGAAATGAACCAGACAACAAAAATACCGTTTTGTGTTCCATTCGTGACTGATGATTTCACCAGAGCTATCAGAAAATCTTTGCTTCAGCGGGCCTCGATGATTCCGTCGGAGTTATGGATATCCCACCTCCTAATCTCAAAAAACAACTTAGCCGCAATCGAGCCTACGACAGAATCTGCACAACTGCTGATTGTGTCATCTGCCCGTCTGGAAAACCAAGCGACTGCTTGGAAATAGGAGTGGTATATCTCATAACCTGCCAAAGTTGCGGTGACCAATACGAGACTGGCAGACCCTTGTGCACAAGAATCAGAGAGCATCTTGACGGTCTTAGAAAGTCCAAAATGTCCACACCCTTGGGTGCACATCGAAGGCTATGTCATGAGAACCAGTACTTTCAAGTCACTGTTACGATCTTGTCGCACGAGTCCGAGTTAATAGCCCTCAAAACTTTGGAGAGCTTTTGAATAGCGTCCAAAACACCAAAAATAAACCGCAACGATGAAGATACAACCATAAACAGTGAACTGTTCTCTTATAAAACACTATATGGATTTTGATGGAGATCTTCTATGACCATATAAAGGGCATTGTTGACACTGATTTCATACTCACTCATAGCGCAGCTACAGCGCAGTACTGGTTGCTCGGTTTATACATCCCGATCTAGCAAGGCTGAAATCTGGCTTTTAACATCTAATCTGCCACTCCATCACATAGTCAAACTAAATCCACTGCCAAACTCGGCGTTTGAGTCGGCAGTTCTCAAAGTCTCGATCTTTCAGGAAGCCCTGAAGAAGGCGGACGGACCGCCGAAGCGTTGGCTTGTCGTTAAATAAAGTATTGCTACCAACCTTGGTCAGCTTAAAAAAATTACAATTGATCACAATGCCAAGGATTTTCGACATTCGAGCACAAAGCAAGACTGTTAATTGTTGGTGCGAAACTTTTAGTGCGGGAATATATTTCAACCATCTTTCACAAGCATTAGACCTATAATAGGAATAAAAGGTTTAGCGTGGCAATGCATTTTGAAGCAGTAAGGGACTTAATTAGGATTTCATAATGCAAATGTTTTTGCTAAGCGATGGGATGCCTTAAATGGACTCCTAATGTTGTTGATGTGGTAAGAATTACACAAGGGCATGATGATTGCACAGATCAGCTTAAATAGCATCGTACTTGCAAGGTCTTTTAGTGCTCCACTTGCTGAGGCGTGAGGTCTTTTTCCTTCTTCTGGCATATAATCCAATTTTAAGTTGTTACTGAACAATCAATTGCTCTTAATTATAGTTGTTGAAAGAGGAATCTATCGCAAATTTTTTAAATACCTAAACAGAAGTTGTGCTCAATTTGCAAGGTAGAGATGAATTCTTCTGCATTAGAGAATCCAGAACCTTGAAATTTTTTACACCATTCATGTATCAGCTGTCAATGTCATCGTACATCGGCCAAATGAAAAGGCTCTTTTATTATTTGCATCGCGGCATTTATCTCAAGAACTTTTTTCAGTTTTTGAAGCATTATGACTGCAATGTTCAGTTACCTCATAGTTGTTCTTATGTTCATTGTTGGCGTTGGAGGTGGGCTTATTGCAGTCTGATTTTTTAAGATATCATTGGCTAATGCACGTCACTATTCAGGTGGAATGTTCAGTGGACCTGATTTTGAGGGTCTCGGTGCCTACGGTGGCATGCATGTTGGCTGATCAATCTTCAACTGATCGATCCACCATGATTGCATTACCTTCTGTTCAAAAGTTAATCTTTCACAATAAAGATTAATCACTGTCTTTTAATCATTGTTATCTAAGATAAAATTATAGATTGTTTGACATAGTTGACCATCTGAAAATAATGTAGCTCTGCAATTATTATATCGTATACTCGTCAAGTAAGAAAGTCTTTAGAGGTAGCATTTACAAAGTTTTACTATGACAGCAAAAAGTGGGGTCGTCACAAGCACTGATTAAAGAAAATCGAACTCTACAAGACCATTGAGCGCGAGCATGAATAATGATTTTTATGAAAATAAAGGTAGAAAAATCGAAAATTTGGGATTTTAACCGTGCTCAGAACTCCACCTTCCGCAGACGCAAACTCCCAAATGCTACAACATAGTTACATTTGCATATTAGTATGTACAATCTCCATGGAAGTCGAGAATAGCAAGAATGAGAGAACAAAGGGTAAATTTTATTGACTTTAAGCTCTTCCTATCCTTTCTCTACATGCATGCGAGTGTACAACTTTGAGTGAACTTAAAAGTGATTTAGCTTACAGGCTTGAAAGAGAAAGTGGTTTGGATTTGCTTTGTTCAATCACATGATGAGCCTTTCCATTAGGAAGAGGTGCTCCTCAAAACTTCCAAAACTGCGTGGGACGTCCTTGACTGCCTAATTTGCTAGAATTTAGGTTGGGTCAACTCAGTATAAGAAAAGCTGAATTCGATTGCGTCATGATGTCATAATTTTTTGAAAAAGAGTTCGGCGTAAGTTCGACTACTTATAGACATGGCGATATCATCGCAAAAACTGTAACTCTTAAAGAGAGATAGCTTTTCGAAAGGGGGACAAAAATATTGAACGATATCTAACTTGTTCGTCGGCCTATATTTCGTCACTTTAGGTGAATCAGGAACGCCAAACTTTGGAGAAGCCTGGCACATTACATGCACTGAATTGTTGACGCAGCTTATAAATTTTTTTTTGGTACAAGACTTATGTTTTGATCTTCTACATCAAATTTTTCTTTTTTTCTTAATTTTGGCCGGAAAAATCCGTCAAGTACATTGTATCGGGAATACAGTGTTTCAACTGTATAACCTCAGATAGTCTATCAGTGAAGTCTGGAGCGAAAAAAGCTTCTGGAAAGCCCAAAATCGACTCCGGAACCTTCCAGACCCCGCGCATTTCCAGGCTTTGCCCATTTCTTACATGTAATTTGAAGCGAATGTGGACACAGAGAGCTACGAAAAAACCTCATATTTGTCGATTTCAAGCGCTGAAAAGCTCAGATATGGCTTCAGCATGGCGAGAAGGCTCCGAAGAGGTGAAAATTCGGGGAGCGAAATTTTGCAGGCCCACTGCCTTCAAGAAGCTGAAACTGATAAGTAATAAGCCCCTACAGCAAGTGAAAAAGCTTGTGAGAAGAGTTACAATGTGATCGTCATGTTGTTGAAAAAAGACAAATGCCTAAAATGCATATTTGTTTTTTGGTACAAAATGATTTATTTTTGATGTAGCGCATTCTGCTTTCGAAAACAAATATCCTCCTCCAAATCAAAAGTTGTGCAATGATGATTGTTTGGCTAGGCAAGGCTAATAATTTTTCTTTTAACGAGCATAATCAGGAGCAAACGTTTTGTGGTAAAAAGTTTACCAGAAGAAGTTCAAGGAAAGAGTGAGATCTGAAGAAGAAGAACGATGAAAGATTTTGAAAGCGCGATACAGTTATTATATGGAGCTATTATGCACTCCTGTAATTCTGCAACTATCAACCAACATTCAAATTCAATCTGACATCCTCCTTTTCAGCCGACACTTTCACAATTTGGAATCTCATTTAAGTCGCTTACTATTTCAAAAATGTGTTGCCACGTCGTCAACTCTCAGTATTCTCATATTTCGTCACTTGATGTAGGAGGTCAAAACATAAGTCTTGTACCAAAAAAAAATTTATAAGCTGCGTCAACAATTCAGTGCATGTAATGCCAGGCTTCTCCAAAAAGTTTGGCGTTCCTGATTCACCAAAACTGACGAAATATAGGCCGACGAACAGGTTAGATATCGTTCAATATTTTTGTCCCCGTTTCGGAAAGCTATCTCTCTTTGAGAGTTGCGGTTTTTGCGATGATATCGCCGTGTCTATCAGTCGAACTTACGCCGAACTTTTTCTTAAGAAATTATGACATCATGACACAATCGAGTTCAGCTTTTTTTATACTAATTGGACCCAACCTAAATTCTAGCAAATTAGGCAGTCAAGGACGTCCCACGCAGTTTTGGAAGTTTTGAGGATCACCTCTTCCTAACGGAAAGGCTCATCATGTGATTGAACAAAGCAAATCCAAGCCATTTTCTCTCTCAAGCCTGTAAGCTAAATCACTTTTAAATTCACTCAAAGTTGTACACTCGCATGCATGTAGTGAAAGGATAGGAGGAGCCTAAAGTCAATAAAATTTACCCTTTATTCTCACTTTCTTGCTATTTAACCCGGACTTCCATGGAGATTGTACATACTAATATGCAAATGTAACTATGTTGTAGCATTTGGGAGTTCCAATGCGTCTGCGGAAGGTGGAGTTCTGAGCACAGTAAAAATGCCAAATTTTCGATTTTTCTACCTCTATTTTCATAAAAATCATTATTCATGCTCGCGCTCAATGGTCTTGTAGAGTTCGCTTTTCTCCAATCAGTGCTTGTGACGACCCCACTTTTTGCTCTCATAGTAAAACTTTGTAAATGCTACCTCTAAAGACTTTCTTACTTGACGAGTTATACGATATAATAATTGCAGAACTACATTATTCTCAGATGGACAACTATGTCAAACAATCTATAATTTCATCTTGGATAACAATGATTGAAAGACAATGATTAATCTTTATTGTGAAAGATTAACTTTTAAGCAGAAGGTAAAGCAATCATGATGGATCGATCAATTGAAGACCGATCAGCGAGGATAAATGTGACTGTAGCCACCGAGACCCCCCTAATGAGGTTTACCGAAGAATCCAAGAGTATTCCATTCTGAATAGTGACGTAACGCATTAGCCAATGATACCTTAAAAAATCAAACTGCAATAAGCCTACCTCCGTAGCTCTCAACGCCAACAATGAACATAAGAACAACTATGAGGTAACTGAACATTGCAGTCATAATGCTTCAAAAACTGAAAAAAAGTTCTTGAGATGAATGCCACGATGCAAATAAC